TCCATCTTGTCCTAGATTAAGTTAGATTTTACTTAACAACATTAAAAGAGTTTAAGACAATGAAAAGGTGTATACATCTATCGGAGCTAAATACCCAAATAAGAAATTCTAACAACTATATGATTTGAGAAGATAATTTTTAAACAAAAATAAACTAAGCAGAGCCAAATCAATTGTACCAGATAGTAAGAAGGTGTGTCGAACAAACGCAATTGTATTATAAAATAAAATGAATTATTAAAACTTTGCTTTTTTAGTTTTTTAAGAAATATACCTTGTTAATAAAAAAAAAAGAAATATACCTCAAGAGTGATGACCATCTTCTACCATGGATTAATCTCGTTTCCTTCTGATTTTATTATGATCTTCAAGTTTCTGCTCCATTTATTCTTGATTAAAATAAATTTGTATTCGAATTATGATAAAATAATTACATTAGCTGAACTGAAAATATAACAAAACTAAAGCATGTGCGGCATCATAGTTTCATAAGCTAAAGAAAAAAGAAGAAGAATTAACCCGATTTTTTCTAAACTAAGTTTGCGGCAAATGCAATAGCTACGTGATGGACATTCGAGAAAGTCCTGATTAACCTAAAACAATTAGAAAACACCAAAGAACTAAGCATACGATCTATTGACGCAAATGGAGGACATGGACAAATGAGAAGCCATCACTTTTGACAACCGCTAACAATTGCACACTGCTGTATTTGTCTAATGCAACCTCGAAAGTTTAAATATTCTATAGAAAAATAATATCGGATGATTATTTTGTTAATCAACTTCTGGTTTTATAGGTCATAGGTGCTCGATTCGGTTCCACAAAGTTTATAGGAATATTCGATAATAAATTTGGAGCTAACACATAAATACATGGATATTTTCAAACCACCTATATTTTAGGCTTATTGTTGTTTCAAAAATTTAAACTCTGTTTTGCTAAATTTTAAAAGATATCCAAATCCAATATAGAAAATCTTATTAATGTTTGTTCTTAAAACTGAATTGTTTTGAGATTAAATGATGATTTCGTCATATTGTTTGTTCCTCAAAAAAATCGGTGCCTCAACAATTATTATTTTCTTTTGGAATCTTTGTTTGTTTTCAACATACTGGAACAAATAAATTATCTTATTATTATTTACGTTTAACTTATATATTCTCCAAGCATTGTTTCGAAAAATCTTTGGCTCAACAAATACTTTTTTTCTTTTGGAATATTCGTTTGTTCTCAAAATGATTTTAACAAATAATTAACAAATCTTATTATTATTTCCGTTTGCTTTAAACATTTTCCAAACATTGTTTGGACACTTTAATATTTTCAAATAATAATGATAACTTTGCTTAAGCCATGTCATCATTTCTCTAAAGACATGTTATAATTTTTCAAACCATGTCATAGTTTTGAACCAATAAAATTATAAGAACTAAGCTAGTTAAATAATATACTTTGGTTTTAATAGGAAGGGGGTACAAGGCGAATTTGAAATTTTCGTGGGATTCTGGATATTACAAATCTTCACCTCAGTTAGCCTTTAACTTCATTTCCACAGCGGAAATGATGAGGCCCTCGTGTCGAGCAAGTCGAATGTCACCACGCTGTCCCCAGTCTAGCCCATAGGATTCATAGATATCCCAATACTCTTTGGGTTCTTTTCCATCTTCAATGTAGACACCACGGCCCATCAGAGTTGAAGCATGGTGGGTCTTGCAGAATTCATACTCATGCCTCTCAATTTCAACGGACGTAGGTGAGAGAAGGCCCTGTATATAATTAAAAATCAGATAAAATAAAAAGCAAATTTGGAAAAAATACATTATTTTAAAAAGACTTTGAATACTACACGTTTTTCATTACTTAAATAACCTCATTAAAACTGAATAATAACTTATATATCAATTATAAGTGAGCCTTCTATCAATTCCCTTCATGAATATATCAATTTCTATAGTTCAAACCTGATGATTCCCACTTAATTTATTAATTTCATTCAATGATAAATTTTTCAATATAAATCTAACAACGTATATTTATCTAATAATACTAATAATCGTTCTTTTTATTAATTAAAACGTAATAGATAATTTAATTTAGGATAAAAATGTCTTATCACATTTAAAAAGAGTTAGTTTCAAAAAAAATAATAAAAAGGTGTATTTTTCAAAATCAAAAACATAAATAGGGTAATATTCAAAAATCCGATAATAAAATAAATAAAATAAATAGATTACAAAAACATAAATAATGGTAATAACTTACTCTTCCTTGGTTTTGCTCAAAACTTGGAAAAGACTTGATATGCACCGCCACTGGTCCATTTTTCAAAAAGGTCCAGATTTTTTTTCTCAAAGCTTTCGTCTTCAGATTTTCCAAAGGGATTCTCATGGAGAACCATGTCAACCACATGCCCCTCCTTTTTCATAAAATCTGCCACAGCTTGGAAGTTTCTTAAACCGTGGCCTCGACCTTTGTGCCGCTGTGAAACTCCATCCATCAGTGATTCTATGCTCAAATCGGTCAGAGGGATTCCGTTAAGTCTCATAAGCATATACCATTGCCTATAATACGCCACAGCCCAGCAATTTCCTATCAAAAAGAAAAATCATTTAAAAAAATGTCACTAGATGCAAACTACGAGTCAACCGCACCCACTGTCTCGGTTTCATAAACACTTTTGTATTGTTTAGATAAAAGAATATACTTGTTTTTCAAATAAAGTGTTCTTACCTACTCTCTGAGTGTATTGCTCGGGAATGAAGTTCAGGTCCGGTCTCTTGTCGTGCCAAGAATTTCGCAATACTGTCACGAATACGAAATTTACTTGTTGTTTCGAATACGAAGGAGCATATGGAAACAATAATGAAACCATTTTGGTTAATGGATTAGACAATGTGCAAGATCAATACAATCTGATAACAGAGAAACAATAAGCCTTTGTTTCTCTGTTATCAGATTGTATTGATCTTGCACAGAGAAACAATACACTTTTCGAGACAATGATTGTATCTTCATCAATTTTCTGTGCAAAATAAGAAAATTAGAGCCTCATCATAGAAGGAAATAAGAAAATTTCCTTCCTTCTTGGTAGACTTTTAATCAACTTTGCAACCTCATCGCAAATGCTAGCAACTTCGATCTTCTGCTTCTTAAAGTTTTCATCCTCAGAATCCTGCAGGAAAACAAAACCCAAATC